ACTGTGTATATATATATATATATATATATAAGTACAGAAAGTTTGCTCGAATGATCGGTGGCAAAGGTAGCGCAGGAAGAGGAGCGCCCTGAAAATCTGACAAGGTCCAGAGTGATTCAACTATGTACCAAAACCAGTCGATGCCATCGAAAAATCGTTCTTTTTTCTTTAGCAATGCAGCATCGTGAAAGAAAAGCACTGCATAGCGCATCTGTGAGATGCATCTGTTAAAAATCGTTATATATCATAACAAGGATATTTCATATATATTTCATAAGTAGTTTTCTTTTCGCGCATGTCTTGGCACATATAAATGCTTTTTAATTCTCTTGTTGATAATGTATATGCATTTTTTATAGTAAATGTAAAACCATAAAGCGCGCGCAATCTAGGTCTATAATCGTGAAGAGATTTTCCAATTTCTTCCGTTTTGCTTCGTATTTTTACTGCCCAATGCTTTTCTTAATGCCGCAATAATATTGGGACAATTCATTTTGGAGTTGCAATTTATATCCGTGTCAAAACACGGACAATAAAAGACATAACATGTAAAAATTATTAATATATAATTCAAGAATGTCCTAAAATGTCTTAAATTAAATATCTTTCATGATTCTTAAATTAAAGATCGTTCGAACGATTACTGTAATAAATGATTAACAAATTATGTGTTGAAAATAATGCAAATGTTATCTCTTATAATGTTACTTCTTATAATGTACGTTTTCGGTTTTGGGCACGGATCGTTCACGCTATATTTTTCCTATAATTACTATGAAAATATTTTATACAAAATATGAAATAATTGAAATCGCTTGTAATATATAAAAATGAGATGTGATTTGCGTATATAGCAAATATATATGCACATAAATTATGCTTAATATAAACTATAACTGAATACATTAATAATATTCTCAATAGTCAATAATAAAAGCAAGCTCAATAATAAAACCAAAAAAATTCTAAAAATGGCACTTAAATGGCATACATAATCAAATTCTAGTCGTGAAGCAGTTGAAGAATAGTAAAATAAATATGCTGATAGCTTCGTTAAGTAGGGTATCTTTTCACGACTATGTTTTCTTACTTTCTCTGAGATGGTAGGATGTTGATATTAAAAATTAGAGTATTTTAGATAACACGGTGTTATAAAAAACTTACTATTATATCTGCTTCTTCCAGCTTCTTTTAATACATGTCTATAAATAAAAAATGATATGTATAGATGAATATATACATTCATTATATATATATATATATATATATATATATATATTGTGTGTGTGTGTGTGTGTGTGTGTGTTATATATATATATAATAT